TGTACCACAGTGCTAACAGTTCAGGCATCCGACTGTGTAAGCTCCTATTGTTTCTTTTTTTTTTTTTATTTTGGGGCTACATCTGGCAGTGTTCGGGCTCTGCACTCAGGGGTCACTGCTGGCGGGCTCAGGAGACCATTTGGGATGCCAGGGATCGAACCTGTCAGTCACACGTATGGCAGGTGCCCTACTATCTCACTGTCGCTCCGGCCCCCTAAGTATCAACTTACCGGGGCTAGGGGTGGCTTGGTCTTTGGTAGTTATGCTCTCCTTACGCTGAGACCAGTGATGGAGAGGTAGGATTCCTAGGAAGACACATGTCACACGTGTCACAGTCAAAAGTCCCAGTCTGGGGGCTGGAGCAATAGCACAGCAGGTAGGGCGTTTGCCTTGCACGCGTCTGACCTGGGTTCGATTCCCAGCATCCCATATGGTCCCCTGAGCACCGCCAGGAGTAATTCCTGAGTGCAGAGTCAGGAGTAACCCCTGAGCATTGCTGGGTGTGATCCAAAAAGAAAAAAAAAAAAGTCCCAGGCTGAAGAGAAGTACAGCAGGGAGGTGCTTTCCTGAGACGTGCCCAGGTCAGTCTAATCCCCACACATATGGGTCCCCGAGCCCACCAGGAGGGACCTCTGAGTGCAGAACCAGGAGTAAGCCCTAAGCACCGCCAGGTATGACCCCAAAACCAGGAAGGCGAATAATAAATATTATAATCACCCGCTTAGCAACCCAGGCCCGGGCTGAGAGCACGCAGCACTGAGGACGCAGGCCTGGTGAGGCCCCGTTAGTCTGATCCTGCTGGGTGGAGCCCTGGAGGCCTGAGCACTGTACGGGCAGCCTCCGGCCCTGCTCTGACCCGCTGACCACCAGTGGGGTCCTCACAGTAACAGCTCTAGGCCAGGGGCCAGGGAGGTAGTGCAGTGGGGGAGGTGGGCACGCACAGACACACGCATATGCATGCACGTGCTTGTACATGCGTGCACACCCCTGAGCCAATGAGCCGGAACATGAGTTTGAAGCCGCGTCGCTCACACGCACCTCCCTCTGCCGCAGGTGAGAACCACCCCGGAACTTTACTACCTGTCCGTGCTGCTGGCCGGGAGCAGCTCTGTGGCCACGGGTGCGTGGGGAGCCCCTCCCACAGCCCTCCAGGGTGGGGTCCCCCTCCTTCTTTGGGGGAGTGTGGGCTCAGAGAGGGTCATGCCACTCCCCGGCCCCTTTCCCAGGAAGCTCAGGAGTCTGAGAGGCACAGGAAGGAAAAGCAGGGGGGCCGGGACACGGCTCGAGGGGCCAGCCTGAGGGTTCCGAGGCTGAGCCTGGCGTCAGACGCACCTGTCTGGCCGAAGAGAGCCCTGGGGGGCTCCAGCCCACCGCTGGGCGGCCCCCAGCACTGCGGGGCTGGGCAAGGCATGAAAGCACCTGCACAGTCTGGCCAAGAGCTCCTGGCAGTGCCACTGCCCACCCCCGCCCCTCAGCACCACTTGGGAGGTTCCCCCAAACAGCAGGGCCAAGGGTGCAGCTCGGTGGGATGCAGGTGCCGTGTATGCAGGGACCCTGGCACCCCACACACCTGGCCAAAGGGCAGACGGGCTACAGCGGGACGGTCCCGGCCTCAAGTGGCTGCCACCCAACAACCCTGCTCTTCCTCCTCTGCTCCCCGCAGTGCTCTTCTCCAGCCAAGGGCTCATCTGGCTGGCCGGCACGGCCTGGCCCAGGCTCAATACCAAAGCAGGACCTGGAAGCTGGCACCGGAGTCCCGCTGGTCCTGCCGCAAACCCATGTCTTCAGGGAGCACTGCCACTGGGCCACCTGTCAGCACCCCCCAACTTCCCACCCACTCAAGGAGCCCCAGGTTCAGCAGAGGGCACTGTCAAGACCAGTCTTTTCTGATCGCAGACGGGAAGAACGGCTCCAGGTCCACCCCGCCACGCAGCAGCCGCCGCTTAAGGAAATTCCCGTTTTTGTTCCAATCAAGTTAGCCGTGGAGCTGGTGGCAGGAGCTCACGGTACTGAAAGCAGCGAGATGAGAATTGGAGTAATAAAAAGAAGATCCTGTTTCCAAAGGACGGGACGAGCTTACTGTGTATCTGAGCACCACTTGGTCCCCCCCCCCCCCACACACACACACAGAGTCTCTTCTATCCTGACACCAGCCTAGAGCGAACATCTGCTTCTATCTCCAACTTTTTGAGTGCATTCAAAGATCTTAAGGGATTTCACCTAGGAGCTTGTTACACAGGAGCAGCGGGTAGGGCATTTGCGGCCGCGCGACATCTTATTATGACATGTCATTATGTCATTCCTACTTTGGACAAACTGGAAGGCTACCGAATGTAGCCTGCCCACACGGCAGAGTCTGGCAAACTCCCCGTGGCGTCCCCAATATGCCAAATACCAGTAACAATGATGGGTCTCATTCTCCTAAAGAGCCTTGAAGATAATCTCAGGGCTAGGATGAAGGAGACGTTACTGGGACCTGCTCGAGGCAATCGACGAATAACAGGATGATTTGTGATTTGTTTGTGTGTGATTGTGGCCGACCCGGGTTCGATTCCTCCGCCCCTCTCAGAGAGCCTGGCAAGCTACCGAGAGTATCTCGCCCACAAGGCAGAGTCTGGCAAGCTCCCCATGGCATAATTGATATGCCAAAGACAGTTACTGGTGCCTGCTCGAGCAAATCGATGAACAACGGGAGGACACTTAACTACAGTTACACACTCTTAGAAGTAAGGGAAACCTCAATTCTTGAGAAGGGCAATAGCCTGGGATGGGGGGGGGGGGGCGTTAACAAAGCACAAACAGCTCTGATGGACACAAAGTTTCCTTCTATGGCTGGGGTTGGGTGGAAAGTGAAGAAAAGGAAACCCAAGTCAGCACACAGGGCCCCTGAGAGCCAGCAGTCAGCCCTGTTACTACTCTGACACAGCCCCCTGCCCCAAACCCCATGACCAATGCAGGTTGGCTAAAAGTCTCCCAGTTTGGCGGGAAGAGAGATGGTACAGCCTGCCCTGCATGCAGCGGGCTGGCTGAGGTTCAATCCCCAGCACCCCAAATGGTCCCCTGAGCCCTGACAGGAGTGATCCCTGACCACAGACCCAGGAGTAAGCTCTGAGCACTGCCAGGTGTGGCCTCAAAAAAAAAAAAAAAAAACCAACAACAAAAACTGAAGGTATCTCAAAGTTACTATTGCTACAAAGTTTTCTTTCCAACCACTTGTCCTGAAACCTGATCCACCCCCAGATGAAGTGATGTCATGGCTGAGGTCAGGTACCTCAAACACCCCCTTAGGCGTTTCTTTTCTCCCCTCAACGCTTTAGCAGGAAATTCTTTTCACTCCACCTTCAAATAATATCTGAAGTCTAAATCCACCACTTTTCACTATATGGAAATTTGTAACTGATCATTTTCTTTTTTGGCTTTTTGGGGTCACAACCGGCAATGCTCAGGGGTGACTCCTGGCTCTGTACTCAGGAATCAACTCCTGGCAGTGCTCGGGTGGACCATATGGGATGCCAGGGATCGATCCCGGCATGGCCGTGTGCAAGGCAAATGCCCTCCCCACTGTGCTATGGCTCCAGCCCTAACTGATGATTTCTTGAAGCTCAGGTATCATCCCTGGCAGGCTTGGGGTGCCGGGCATTGAACCCGGGTCAGCTGCATAGAAAGCAAGTGCCCCACCCACTGTACTACGGCCCTGGCCCCTGATGGTTTCCATCTGTGAACTTGCCTTCTCGAACTATCAATTCTGCTGCCATGGAGGCCACATGGAGCAGCGCAAGAATCAGAATCACACAGGACCTGACACGTGTCAGGCACACACCTGGCACAGCCCCCGCCCCCCGACCATTTCTAAAGATTAGGAGCCTCGATCTTTGCTGCTGCTCTTGTTTGGGGGCTTAAGGGGTGGTTCCCAGCACAGGGCACAGGGGACTCCATGGTTCTGAGGACTGAACCCGAGACTCCCACATGTAAAGCCTGCCCTTCACCCCAGCGATCCAGCGATATTTTGGATTTCCGCCTTGAAATTATACAACACTCTACAGAGTCAGGAGTAAATCCTGAACCCCACCAGGTATGGCCCCCAAACAAATGAACACCAAAAAGCAACAAAAAGACTTATAGAGGGGCCAGGTTATCTACTGGTAGACCCTGAAAAGAAGTCCAAGTTTCCAAGAATCTGAGGGCAGCACATTTTGTTGGGGGGGTTGGATGGGGCAAGGTGTCATTGTGGTCTTAGTTTTCTCCTGTGCTAGGGAGTTGCTGTCCCCCACTATATGGGGGACAACGCTGAACCTGAAACCCACGGAGGGGTGTGTGGGGGGGGCTTCTCTGACTCTCCCTCCAGCCCCCATGGGGCTTCCTGTCAACCTCCAGAGCTCCCTCCCCCCCACCCCCTTGGAGCAGCTCCTGCCAGGCTGAAGCACCCTAACTCCCTCCAGCTGCAGGGAGGGGTCAGTGCTCCCCCAGCTGTGACTCACATGATCTCTGTGAGACCCCCAAAGGGTTGTGACTCTAGGGTTCCATCTCCTAGCTCTGCACTCTGGGGCACAGAAGATGTAATGCGGAGCTGGAAATGAACTGGGTTCCGCCACGGGGGAGCCAGCCAGCGTCCACACTCTGTCTCTGCCCAGCCACAGCTCCCAGCTCTCTTCTGTGACCCCCCTCACTGCCCATCCTTCCTCAGTTTCTTTGCTCTTGTCACCCCACCTTCAATCCCACCCCACCCCCCTTCCCAGCTTTTGAGAACTGGACCTCAAGGCAACCTCCGACTACTGCCATCCCCAATGACCCGCCGACAGAGCGCAGAGGGTGGGCAAGGGAGCATCCCTCGGGATACCTCCGCCACCCCAGGGCCCCAGGAGTCAGGAAGAGCTGCCCCCACCCAGTCCAGTGCAGAAAGTAGGAAGTTTCCCTCCCGGCCAGCCGAGGACCGGCCCAAGTGGCTTGGCACCGAGCTGCAAACGGGTGCAAACGCTGCCCACTTCCGCGTCCCTACTCACCCAGAGAGGAGGAGGTGGAGGGCAGGGCACTGCACCCAGGCACGGGTCACGCGAAACTGGGGGCCAGGCGGCTGCTGACTCGGGTCCGGGACACTGCGCGGGCTGAAGCGAGGCTTTCCCTGCACACGTCCCCCTGGAACACAATCAAGGTCCAGTATGGGAGCCCGGGCCGGCCGGGTCCCGCCCGCACCTCGGGGTGCACCTCGGGGGGCTCACTTTGCTGTTGGCTTTAGGTGCACGCCTTCCGGGGCGGGGGGCTGGACAGAGTTCCCCTGGAAGGCAGCCCCCCTCGAGAGCTCTGACCAGACGCAGGGGTCCCAGAAGCTCCCCTGGCGCCCCTGGCCCGGGAGGCGGGAAGCCGGGCCCGGACGGTCCAGGGAGGCCCTGGAGGACGGTGCAGGCAGCGGCCGTCGAAGGTCAGCGAGGGCCTGACCAGGCTCTTGGTGTCTTAAGAAACAGGATCGAGACTTCCAGCCCCAACCTGGAGCCTGACCTGGCCGGGGCGCCGCTGGCTCTCAATTTCCGTTTAACCCACGCCCGCGCCAACGCCCCCAACGGCTCCCGCGCGGACGCCCCAGGGGCGGTTACTCCGGGGCAGCGCGGCGCACGGGCCCAAGTGCTGGCGGGCGCGCGCGCAGCCCGGACGCCGGCCGGGGGCGCACCCGCCGCGCGCCCTCATTGGCTGGCGGGCGCCGGAAGTGGTTCGGCGCCGGAAGTGCTCCCCGCGCGCGGCCCCGCCGGACCGCGGGCCCTCAGGTAGGCGGGTCCCTCCCTGCTGCCCGCTGCGGGGGCGCGGCGGGGCCGGGCGCGATCGGGGCTGCGGGGCTCGGCGCTCTGCGGGCGGGGGGCCGCGTGCGGGAGCCCCGAGCTCCGTGCGCGGCGGCCGCAAAGGGCTTTGCTCGGGCGGGGCCCGTGGGGGCGCGAGTGACGCCCCCGCGTGCGGGCTCTGCACGGTCCAGAGCGGGCGGGCGGGGCTGGACAGCGTCCAGGGCCCCCTCGGCTCCCCCGGGACCGAGCCCTGAGCCCCGCGGGGTGTGGCCCCGTGAGGCGTGAGCGCCTTCCTGCTTCTGCACCCGCAGAAGCAGGTACTGCGGGTACTGATGCTCGGTACCCAAGGCTGCACCCCAACGCCCCCGAGTGCTAAGTGCGGCCAGCGAGTGCATTGGGCGGACGCGTTCTTGGGCTGTTGGCTTTTCGTATATTGCACCGGTGGTTTGTTTTGTTGTTGGGGAGATGCTCGGGGACGACACCCGCGTGGCTCCGAGCCCGGTTCTGGATCCTGCGTGCGGGGCTCGTGCACGGTCCAGAGCTGACTGGGCGGGGCTGGACAGAGCCCAGGGGGCCGCCGGAACCGAGGGGTGTGGCCCGAAAAGGAAGGGGAAAGTCCCGGGAGGCTGCAGAGAGGGAACCCGGGGCCCGGCCTGCGGGGTCCCGTGCCCGGGAGGGGCGAGTGCGGCCGCGGGGAAGGCACCTGTCGCGGACCAGCTGCCCCCGACGCCGCTCCGAGCTGGGCCTGGGCACCACCAGGCGTGGCCCTTGCAGGAGCCCGCAGCCCTTAGGACTGCGGAGAGGGAATGCTGGGCATGTAGGACAACCCCGCTAAGTCCCCAGAAACAGTAACTGCTGCCCTCTGAGAATAAGTCACACAAGGAGACACTTTACGTGCTGAACGACAGCTCCTTGGGCTCTGCAGGTAACTGTTACTCCTTGGGCATAGAGCAGTTGGCCTGTGTGTTGTAAGAATATTCCTGCAGTGGGAGGTGCCGAGACAAGGAACACGAGAGAAATTATTTTCCACGGAGGGCCCGGATTGGCTCAGATCCAGTGACAAAGGTAGAGAGTCCTGAGATCTCCTTTTATTATCCCCTCTAAACAAAGTTCAGAAGTCCAAGGAGGAACATTGTGGCATTCAGGCATACATTGTTTCATTGTATCCTAAGCCTGCTAGTTTCAACCCTCCTGAAAGCAACTGCACAGCCAAATGTTCTGGCATGTAAATTACAACCTCAAGCACCCGGGGTCAAGCTGGGCCTGGGGCCGAGCTGGGTCTGTGAGAAGAAGACGACTGACTCTTTCATTATACTAAGATTTAGGTTATTTGCTGAAGGCAGCTTAAAGAAAGAGATGTTCAACTTCATCCAAACCAGTCTGGACGCATGAGTCATGTCTCGCCCATTTTCATGGGTCCCTGTGTTCCTGCCCGTTTGCAGGACAGTCTATGCGGGCTCATCCTGACCGTCTAGTCCGGCCCCAACACCTGTGTTTACATAGGAGTGATGATTAGGATGATTTAAGCCAAGGTTAGACAAGAGCTGGGTAGATGACTGAGAGTGAGTTGCTTGAGTGCCCTGGATTTGAGCCCATACTGCAATTCCCTACCGCCACCAGCCCCTCAGGTGTGTCTGGGAGAGCATAATTTTGGAGGAAAAAAGCAAGTATTAGGTTGCTAGCTCAAAGGGCTGAAGCATATGTGTTGTATACTTGAAGCTCCAGGTTTGAGAGCCGACTCTTAGAGCCCTGGTGACTCCCAAGCACTCCTGTTTAACAAGAAAAATGGAAGGGCATTATGGGGCAGTAGTACAAGGGGGTTGGGGGCTTGCCTTGCCCATGGCAGATCCTGGACCATCCGAGCATTACCAAGTGTGGCCAGAAAACCAAAAAGAAAAAAAAAATAGGGCTGGAGCGGGTAGGGCACTTGCCTTGCATGTGGCCGACTCAGTTTTTATCCCTGCCACCCAATGTGGTATCCTGAGCACTGCCAGCAGTAATTCCTGAGTGCAGAGCCAGTAGTAACCCCTGAGCACTGCCAGGTATGGCACAAAAAAACTGAAAATAGAATTTCAGTCTGTTTTGACTATCAGGAATATTTCTGTTCAGTATCGAGTGTTCTCGTAATATGTGATGCGTTGGTGTTGGCGCAGGGGCAGAGCACTTGGCCTTCGCATGTGGGAGGCCCTGGCTTTAGGGTTCGCTCCCTGCACCCTGAATTTTAAAATGTCCTAATAAGTTACTCTGGGGGTTAAGTTGTGGTGAATGCTGATACTAAGCACACCATGTTTCCTGAGAAGGATGATGTTTAGTTTTTGGGGATAAACCTATAACATTTTGGGCGGGGGGGGGGGGGGCTGGAGCGATAGCACAGCGGGTAGGGCATTTGCCTTGCACGCGGATGACCCGGGTTCAATTCCCAGCATCCCATATGGTCCCCCCTCCCCATCCCCTGAGCACTGCCAGGAATAATTCCTGAGTGTAAAGCCAGGAGTAACCCCTGTGCAATGCCAGGTGTGACCCAAAAAGCAAAACAAAAAAAAATTTGGGGCGGGGTACCCTCTCAATCAGTCATCAGGGGCCACTAGGGTCATACTTGGTGGCTCTGGAGGACCCTGGACCTAGGAAGAATTCGGGCCTCTGTCTGCCAGGCAGGCGCTCCAACCCTTGAGCTGTTCTCTGGCCGTTGAAAGCGATCAGTGGAGGCGGGGAGAGAGTGCAGAGGGCTAACGTGGCTTTGCCCACAGAGGTCAGACTTTGACCTCCAGCTGTGCCTGGCCCGAGCCCTGGAGGGAATTACTCTCAACAAATAACTGGGCGTAGCCCCTAGGCATCCCCAGTGCCCTCTTATTCCCCCCAAACAAACTTAGAAACATAAAGCTCCTCGTGTTAATTTAAGGGGGATTCATTCATTCATTCATCATCCTGTTATTCGTCGATTGCCTCGAGCAGGCCCCAGTAACGTCTCCTTCATCCTAGCCCTGAGATTATATCCAAGGCTCTTTAGGAGAAAGAGACCCATCATTGTTACTGGTGTTTGGCATATTGGGGACGCCACGGGGAGTTTGCCCGACTCTGCCATGTGGGCAGGCTACATTCGATAACCTGCAAGTTTGTCCTAAGTAGGAATGAGATAATAAGATGTCATAAAAAGATGTCTTGATAACATGTCGCGCGGCCGCAAATGCGACCGCGCGGTTCCGGGACCTGGGTTTTATAGTCTCTGAAGGGGGGATGCAAATAATATTAAATCAATAGCATTTCTCAACACTAGCAATAACCAGAATTACAATAACGAAGACTATTCCCAATAGTAACCCCAAAACAGTATCTGACAGTAGCCACTTAGAGACCTATGTGAACAGAATAGTGCTTTTAAAAAAGAACTAAAAATCTGAATCAGGGTTACTTCAGAGGCCAAGGTACTTTCTTTGCATGAGGATGGAACAATAGTTTGAACCCTGGCACCACCCATTGTCCCCCAACCATCACCAGGTGTGACCCCTGAGTACTTCAGGGTGTAGCTGCTAAAAAAAAAAAAATCAGACTGAAGAGATAGTGGCTAAAATGCTTGCCTTGCATACAGCTGACCCTGTTCTAATCCCTGGCACCCCATGTGGTCCCCCAAGGCCCTCCAGTAATGATCCCTGAGTCCAGGGTACAGAGTAAACCCTGAGCACTGCCGGTGTGGCTCCCACACCACCCAAAAAAGGGAAAAGGACTCTCCATGGAGAGGGGTGTCGCAGGAGAGTGGCCGTTCCAGGGACATTCTTATTCAAGGCTGCTATTTTCTACACATTCATCTCCAGTCACACTTTGAATCAGGTGCTCACCCTTCCCTTCTTTTCGTGGCAGTGACTGGTCACGCTCAGCAGGTATGCAGGCTCGGGTCACAGTGCTCGCTTGGGTTGCAGGTGGTTGTTGCCCCGGGGACCATAAATTGCCATGCCAGGATTGAACTCCGTATGAGGCCAAGCCAGCCGTCCGATTCTGCCTCTGCCTGGCCCTCAGCCCCCAAGTTGAAATTGTTTTGTTTTGTTTGGAGCTTCACCTGCTGGTGCTCACGGATCACCACTGGCTCGAGGCTCAAGAAGTGACCCTTCTCGGTGCTTAGGAGAGCATCAGCACCAGGGATTAAACAGAGGTCCACTGCCTGCAAGGCAGTCACCTTTTCCCTCTAAAGCTCCAGCCCCTTAAAACTTCTTTTGGGCCGGGAGTCCCCAAGGGACTGGGGCACATGTCTGTCATTGGAGGCCCCACATCGGTCTTGGCACCTGATCTGAGCTTCCCCACAGGCTGTCTCAAGTGGCCGGCACAGTGCTGGCCCCATGTGGCCGAGCACTGAACTGTCTAGCCCACATTGTTGGCCAGTATCACCGGGAGAGGCGGCCGGCTCTGCCTGCAAGTTGCCAAAATAAAATCATAAAAAAAATCCGAGATGTTTAGGATGTGCCCTCATGGGACACAACACTACAAAACCAAGAACACGTGGGCACCAGCGCCATATCACAGCAGGGAAGGCGCTTACCTTGCATGCGTCTGACCCGGGTTCTTTTACAACTTAAGACTTAAAGGGAAAGGTCTATAGAATTGGTCCTTAAAGATAATAATCTATAGACTGGAATTCTAGTACAACTAGTAGGGTGCTCGCCTTATACACAGCCAACCAACATTCTATCCCCAACAGCCCATATGGTCCCTGGGTCTGCCAGAAGGGATCCCTGAGTGCAGAGCCAGGAGTAACCCCGGAGTACCACCACCAGGTATGGCCCCCCCCCCAAAAAAAAACAATAATAATCTGCTATAACAGACACCAGAAATAAAATTGTTAGAGAGCTGGAGAGATAGTATAGCAGGTAAGACCCCTGCCTTATATGCAGCCAACCTGGGTTTGATCCCCAGCATCTCGGGTGGTCCCCTAATCCCCCAGTGAGGATCCAGGAATAGGCCCTGAACACAGGTGGGTGTGACGCAAAAAGAAAAATGAAAAGAAAAAGTCAGGAGTTGGAGAGATAGCAGAGGGGTTAAGGTGCTTGTCTTGCCTGTGTCCGACCGGGGCTCCCATATGGTGATCACATATGCACCACATATGGTCCCCCATCGCCACCAAGATGATTCGGTTCCTTAGAGTAAAACTCGAACAAGCCCTCAGCACAGGTGGGTGTGGCCTCCCCCTGCCAAAAAAAAAGCCAGGAGATAATATTTGCTATATGATGACAAAGCCTTCATTTCTATGCAGTTTAGAGCAGAGAAGGGCAAGCCAGTAGGAAAAAATGAGCATATTTCTTCAGAAGGAATCCATACCAGGATGGCAGAGATAGTTCAGTGGGTAAGCCTTGCAAGGAGTGATCCTGAGCACCGCCAGATGTGACCCCAGAACTAAAAAAATAAAATAGAAAAAAAAAGAAAAGGAAAAGAATGATATTATGGATCTTTCTATAGACCAGTTCAGTCATATTTGACCTGTTTATAAATGTACATTTTTGTCACATTTATATGGAGACCAAGAATGAAGACTTCTAAGATTTCCCATACTTTGTAGCTTAGTAAGAGTATAACTAGCTGGGACTGGAGCAATAACACAGCGGGTAGGGCGTATGCCTTGCACGCAGCCAACATGGCCAACCTGGGTTCGATTCCCAGCATCCCATATGGTCCCCTGAGCACCGCCAAGAGCAATTCCTGAGTGCATGAGCCAGGAGTAACCCCTGAGCATCACCGGGTATGACCCAAAAAGCAAAAAAAAAAAAAAAAAAAATTAAAAAAATTTTAAAAAATGTTAAAAAAAGTATAACTAGCTGATTTTTAATTTTTTTTTTTTGTCTGGTTTTGCTTTTTGGCCTCCTGGGTGGTGCTGGGGCCCTGAGGGCTACACCCAGCAGTGTTTAGGAGATGTCAGGACTAGGTATACCCTCGGGGCCCTGTTCATGCCAGCCACGCACGCTACCCTTTCCCTGTCTCCCCGGCCTTTTACGGCCTGTCAGATTACTGTCCGTGGATCATTTCAAATGACCAAATATATATTGTACTTGGGTTTTTGCAGCTCTACTGAGAGATCAAAATGGCTTCCAGAGGAAAGACCGAAACAAGCAAGTTAAAGCAGAATTTGGAAGAACAGCTGGATCGACTCATGCAGCAGTTACAGGATCTGGAGGAGTGCAGGTAGCCGTGCGGCCATGTGCTCCCTTGCCGGAAGGGGCTTTTCTCCCCGTGGCGGGACCCTCAGCTCCGCTGCAGGCCCCCACTGGGCTCTGGCTTCCCCCAGGCTGGTCACAGCACTTTGGCTGTTGGACAAATAAACACATGACAGGTCAGAGGTCTCAAAGGCGGGGGCTGGAGCGATAGTACACAGGGAGGGCGCTTTCCTGGCATGTGGCCGACCTGGGTTCGATCCCCGGCATCCCATATGGTCCCCCAGGCACCACCGGGAGTAATTTCTGAGTGCAGAGCCAGGAGTAACCCATGAGCATTGCCGGATCTGACTCAACCCACCCCCCGCCCCCACAAAAAAAAAAAAGAAAAAGTCTTAAAGGCTGGGGAGTGAGAGTCTGAACTCTGGCGTAATCCTCAGTAATCCTGCCCAAGTCCCCATTTCCTTCAGTATGATGTCATGATCACACCTTCCTTGTCTTCAGTTCTTCAAAGAACTCTGCATCTGACCTTTGGTTTCTAGCAAGCCTTAACCGAGTCGGGGCCAAGTGTGTTCTCTCTTGTGAAGCTGGGGACTGAGCTGGGGCCTCATCTGGTCGAGGCGTGTGTTCTGCTGCCGAGTGCTCTCCGCAGCCCTCATGTGTGCATTTCTAGCCCTCAGCTGGTGATTCAGGGGGCTGCTCCCACCTCAGTGCACAGCCTTTGCTCCTGTTGGTAGGCATCAGACACAGCCTCCTGCTTGCAGAGTGCGCTCCGGTTGGTCTCACTGCTGGTCTCACTCCAGCCATTTCCCTTTCTTTAACAACCTTAATAGGTTATAAATAAAACAAACAAAAGAAGGTGCCAAAGCCTTAACACCCAGTGAGTGGGGGTATTATTTGCAGTGAATGTTTAATGAGTGGATTGTTGGGGAGCCTCTGACACAGGTGACAAGTACTGTATTGTTGTAGCTCAGTGGACACAAGCTATGGGTGAGGATAGTAATATGATCAAGTACCTGTCACATGCAAACACTTTCTATATCTCAGCAAATAATTATAACAAGGAGGGGCTAGAGAGATAATACAACGAGGAGGGTATTTGCCTTGCATGTGGCCAACTTGGGTTGGCTCTGGGGCATCCCATATGGTGCCCTGAGCCCGCCAGGAGTGATCCCTGAGTACAGAGCCAGGAGTCACCCCTAAGCACTGCAGGAGTAGCCCAAACCTCCCTACCCCCAAAATAACAATAATTATAACAAGCTCACAAAACACACAAATATTTTATAAAAGTATAAAATAAAAGGGCTGGAGCAATAGCACAGCGGGTAGGGCATTTGCCTTACATGTCGCCAACCCGGGTTCGATTCCTCCACCCCTCTCGGAGAGCCCAACAAGCTACCGACGGTATCTCGCCCGCACAGCAAAGCCTGGCAAACTTACCCGTGACGTATTTGATATGCCAAAAAAAGTAACAAATCTCACCATTTGTCGTGAGACATTACTGGTGCCTGCTTGAGCAAATCGATGAACAACAGGAGGACAGTGACAGACATTGCTACAAAATAAGTACTATCCATATCTGCAACTTGAAGATAAGGGAATTGTCACTTGGCTTTCCCTTTCTCAGAACATGCCATTTATATGCTATTTAAAAGAAAAGATGTGGGGGCTGGAGCAATTGCACAGCGGTAGGGCGCTTACCGGGTTTGATTCCCAGCATCCCATTATGGTCCCCTGAGCACCGCCAGGGGTAATTCCTGAGTGCAGAGCCAGGAGTAAAACCCCTGTGCATCGCCAAAAAGCAAAAAAAAAAAAAGATGTGGTTTATTAACTGTGCTTCACCTTAATTAAAGAAAAACATTCAATTTTCTATTTTGAAAAATCGTTAATTTGGGAACTGGAGCAATAGAAAAGTGGGTAGGGCATTAGCCTTGCACGCAACTGATCTGGGTTCGATCCCCAGCACCTGATAGGGACCCCCCACCAAGGACCACCAGGAGTAATTCCTGAGTGAAGAACCAGGAGTAACCCTGGAACATCATTGAGTGTGACCCAAAAAACAAAAAGTGTTATTTTCAATAACACTCTCTATATTTTTTTTTCTTTTTGGGTCACAGCTGGCAACGCACAGGGGTTACTCTTGGCTCTGCACTCAGGAATTACCCCTGGCAGTGCTCAGGGAGACCATATGGGATGCAGGGAATTGAACCTGGGTCGGCCACGTGCAAGGCAAATGCCCTACCCGCTGTGCTATCACTCCAGACCCTCAATAACTATATTATAAGAAAAAGTCTTTGCTGCTAATATTTGAACATACCCATCATTAGTATTTTAATATTTCAGCCTTTTCCCCCCAAGAATATTTTTTGTAAATGATATTTTTGGAGGGTCTTGACTGTGCAATCAGAGGACCAGCCATATGTGGTGTCAAGGATTATGTATTATCTCTCCTTCCCACTTTGTGTTAATATGAGTATCTAGTGTCTTAGTGTAGGGGGCTGGAGCGATAGCACAGCAGGTAGGGCGTTTGCCTTACATGCGGCCGACCCTGGCTCGATTCCCAGCATCCCTGAGCACCACCAGGAATAATTCCTGAGTGCAGAGCCAGGAGTGACCCCTGTACATCGCCAGATGTGACCCAAAAAGCCAAAAAAAAAAAAAAGTCTTGATGTATAAATAATAGAGCTTTTCACTTGGAACTTTTGATCTGGTTATGATGTTCATTGTATTTTCAGAGAGGAACTTGATACAGATGAATATGAAGAAACCAAAAAGGAAACTCTGGAGCAACTAAGTGAATTTAATGATTCACTGAAGAAAATCATGTCGGGAAATATGACTTTGGTGGATGAACTGAGTGGAATGCAGCTAGTAAGCATAAGTTAATTATTTTGATGACACTGGGTACTTAACTACTTAGAATCTATTGAATATAGAAACAGAGCATTTTGGGTGGTGATTAACTTCCAGATGAGTGTCAATTTATGGACAAGCGAATAACATTTTGGGTTTTATGGATAAAAAGTATTGCTTCTAGGTCTTTGCTGGGTAAAATCCTGATTCTGCTGACATGAATAGAAATAACAAAACAGTAACAGTGTTTGATAAAGCAAAGAAGGGCTAGCAGTAGTTATTAGGCATCCTTGTATTGTTGTCTTGCTAACAGACTTCCAGCAGTGTTAACATAAGATAAACGGGTGTTCCAGAGTGTTCTGGTCAACCTAACCGTAAGCAGACGTTGCAGTCAGCTTTCACCTTCTTGCGTTTCTAGGCTATCCAGGCGGCAATTAGCCAGGCCTTTCAAACCCCAGAAGTTATCAGATTGTTTGCAAAGAAGCAACCAGGTCAGCTTCGGACAAGGTTGGCAGAGGTAAAGTTTCTTTAACTTCATCTAATTGCTGAGTGTTCCTTTTTCCAGCTCCCAAATTTGCTGATTATGGTATTTGTGGGTTTTAATTTGAAAATCGGTCACCAAGAGCCAGGGCTCAACTCTGGCGCCAGCTGCAGCCTAAGTGTCACTGAGCAGCGCAGGCTCCATCGGGCACAGTAAATGTGCCCCCTGGGTGGGGATATTTATAACGAACGGGGAGGCTGTTTGCCAGTGCAGGCGGGTGCGGGTGGGAAATCTCTGTCCCTTTAGCTTGACTTACTGGAACCATAAAGCTGCCCTTTAAAAAGAAGTCTATTGGTGGGACCCGGGCGATAGTACCGCAGGTGAGGCGCTTACACTGCACAGAGCTGACCTGGGTTCTCTCCCTGGCACCCCATATGGTCCCCTGAGCACCATAGGAATGACCCTGAGTGCACTGTCAGGAGTAAGCCCTGAGCATCGCAAGGTGTGGCCAAAACACCAATAATCATTTACTTAAATAAACTGTCCAATCTACTATTGACCTCCCTAAAGGCTGTGTGGGCCACCAGGGATGCCCAGTGTTGCTCAGGAGACAGGGCAGTGCCAGGGACTGAGCCTGTGTGTAATCCATCCCTTTGAGCTGGCTCCAATCCCTGCCAAGCTTGGGACCCTGAACCTCACCTTGGAGATACGCACTTCATCTGTGGGCTCACCGCTGGCCCTTACATCTCTGACTCTATGAGTTCACATTTCCATTCAGAATGATTGTTTGGCTTTTGTTTATGGCGGCCACACCTGACAATGCTTAGCGTTTACTCCTCGCTCTGTGCTCAGGGATTATTTGAGCAGGGCTCTGTGGAACTTACGCTGTGGGTGGCAGAGGGGAGCGAGTCTGGGTGGCCACTTGCAAGGCAGGTGCCCCACGCACTGCACTGTAGGCCCAGTCCTGCCTTTGGAGTTTTTTTGTCTGTTGGTTTGTTTTTTTGCTTTTTGACTCACACCCAGCGATGCACAGAGGTTACTCCTGGCGGTGCTCGGGGGACCATATGGGATGCTGGGAATCGAACCCGGGTTAGCCGCATGCAAGGCAAACGCCCTCCCCGCTGCGCTGTGGCTCCAGCCGCTGCCTTTGGAGTTTTGAGTTGACACTGCTATCTCGATTCTTTCCCATGCGCTTCTTTATGTGTATGGACTTAAGTCTGAAGAGTTTCATGCATCTACAGAACCTTACAGAACAAACATCTGCAGCTGTTATACTCAGAGATACTTTCACAGAGTGGGATATAAGTAAGTCATTCACTGTAGCAGTTCAGTAGTGAGATAGTAACATGAGCTTAGGTCACACTGGCCGGATTCAAGCGTTCAGGGAGCTTGTGGAGCTCCCTCTTGGGCAGGTTATTGTTTGCTGTCTCTTTGGCCTCCAGATTCCCCTTCCCTGGGAGACCTAATACCATTTACCTTCCTAATCCCGGGGATCATACTCAGGTGCAGCTGAATGAGTTCGCAAAGGGCGTTTCCTCTCAAAGGCAGCCGGGACCCATCGTTTTCTCATTCGAGTTCATTTCGAAGACGTTGATGATGGCTGGCGTCAAGATTTATTAGAACTTACACTTCTGTTATGCGTGCCTCCGTCGTTTATATAAATTCCTTCTGATAGTAATTAGCCAGAGGAAGTTTTCAGTGGGTCTGAAAAGAAACTTTTCGGCTGTGTGTCTTTAGCCAGGTGCTTTGCGTTTATCCGTTATATAGATGGATCGAGACCTCATGGTGGGGAAACTGGACAAAGACCTGTACACGCAGCAGAAAGTGGAGATCCTGACGGCGCTCAGAAAGCTGGGAGAAAAGGTACCAGTAGTTCATTGATTAGGTATAGAGGAAAGGTGTGCAGTATTCCGTATAGAGCTGGGGGGGAGGGGGGCGGAGGGGAGGGGTTACAGACCCACCGCTGCGTAGGGGTCTTCTCAGCTCTGCTCAGGGTTCACTCCTAGCATTGCTCAGGGACCATTTGTGGGGCCAGTTATCAAAACAGAGCTGGCTACGTGCCAGGCTAGCGCCTTAACCCTTTTCCAAGTGCTCAGAGATCACAGACCAAGGACAGACCAAGGAGTGGCCGAGAACCTCTTGCTCTGTGCCTACTTTTGTGTGCTCCTGAGTGTCCTGTGGCTCCTGGAGCCCGCGTCAGTCGGCGCTGTTTTGTTTTGTTTTGTAGCTGACCGCAGATGATGAAGCCTTCTTGTCCGCGAACGCAGGCGCCATCCTCAGCCAGTTCGAGAAAGTCTCCACTGACCTTGGTGAGTGCTCTGGCGTTTTTCAACACGAGGCGTGTGTTACTGTCCCTCCCTGACACCTTGTTTTGGGTTTAGAGGGAAGCAAATGTGAATGTGTTTGCCTCTGAACTCAGACTCATAAATCGCATGTTATTGGCCTTATTTCCCAGTGCTTTTAAATAACGCAGCCTAGGAGCTGGAGAGATAGCACAGCGGGTAGGGCGTTTGCCTTGCACGTGGCCGACCCGGGTTCGATTCCCAGCATCCCATATGGTCCCCTGAGCACCGCCAGGATTAACTCCTGAGTGCAGAGCCAGGAGTAACCCCTGTGCATCGCCAGGTGTGACCTAAAAAGCAAAATAAATAAATAAATAAATCACTTCACTTAATCACTTAATCCCCGTTATTCATCGATTTACTCGAGCAGGTGCCAGTAACGTCTCCATTCATCCCGGTTGCGTGCTAGCGTAACCCAATGGTATCTGTTTGTTCTAGGAACATGCAGAGCCTCAAACCGATCATTCAGGGTCCTGACAAAGAAGTCTGACCATTTTGTAGGTGGGCGTCCACGTGATCTTTTGACGTCCCGTGGAATCCAATCAGTAATGGCTCTAGTCTGTAAACTAGCGGTTTGTCTGTAAACCTCATTACGTGTCCAGCCCATCTGATTTTTGATGCCTTGGCAAATGAGACAGCGTCCCTGATTCTTGAGCGTTGACGAAGATCAGAACTCCGGATTCTATCTCTCATTTGAGTGAATCGTGATATTCCAAGCATAGCTCTTTCGATTCCTCTTTGAGAGACCCTAATGTGTGCTCTTTATTTTAAATTGTGTTATATTTACTAAGGTAAATGAAAGTAGCCTCCATTTTCTTTAAGATCTCCAGTTAGGATGAGCTTCTGTGACCTGTAAGGCCTGCGTGGCAGTTATCTGTGGGAGGACTGGGGTGGAGGCGGGAAGGCTTAGAACACACTGGGAGCCGCTGGCACGATTCTCATTCACGTGTGCATGGTGGTCTGCCTGCAGGCGTGACAGCCAAGAAATGACAAGCCTCTTTTCTTTCTTCTCTGCCTTCCTCCTTAGGCTCTGGAGACAAAGTTCTCGCTTTGGCAAGTTTTGAGGTTGAAAAAAACAAAAAATGACATGGCGTGGAAGCCTGGGACCTTAATGACATCTCTGTCACAAATGGCATTTTTCTTCGGGGGATTTGCGGCACAGCGGAGAACATGAAGAGATTCGCACAGTGTATTCGTGGGGAGGTGCCGGGACCAGCCGTGCGCTTCTCTGCCGGGCCCGCCACCTCGCGCCTTCTGGTTTGTCTGAGGGAACAGAGCACTTATTGCCTGTTCATCTTAAGGCTCCTTGGGTTGGGTGATATTTTTTTTCTTTTTCTTTTCTTTCCTGCAGATAATTTATCCCCACCTGGCGGAGTAAATAATGTAGCAATATTAACAGCTCTCATCTGTATCCTAGAATTTTATAGTCTCAGTGATTGTAGATGTCAGATTCATGATGGGCTGGAGAGAGAGGACGGGGGTGAAAAGCACGTGCCTTCTATTGTCGCCAGCCAGTCCCCCAAGCACTGGTCACCCTCAGCACTGAGCCAGGGCTAGGGTCTGTATGCTGCCTGGTGTGGTTCTGAAGCCCAAAAGGAAAACAGTCGTCTCTGTGTTGCAAACAAGGAAATAACAGAAAACCTTAAACCCTCCGAGAGCTGGTCAGACGCTACGGGGACTCCGTCTGACGTCCATGAGCGTCGCTTCTTTATTCTGTGCTGTGGTGGATTTGGTTTGGCGTTTTTTCATTTGTCCCGGGGTTTGGGTTTTGCTGTGCTTGGCGGTGCTCAGGGTCTTCCTCCAGCCGTTTGCTGGGGGCTGGAGCTGGGCCGGCCCCGAGCCTACTGCCTGCGAAACAGGAGCTCAGCCTCTTGGTCCCTCTCTCCAGCCCTATTTCTGTGCTGGTTGTCTTTTTGCTTGGTTTGGTTTGGTTTTGTTTAAATACATATTGTGCAAGTTCTGTTTATAAAAATTTCGTTTCCCAGCAGAAAGTTGCAATTTAGGGACCTTGCGCCAGCCAGAAGCACTGGAGTAGATGCAGCTGATCGCCTCTCTGAGGGTTCAGCCTGGCAGCCCCGCTGCAGCCCCACCTGCTCTGTTTCGCTGGGGTCTAGTGTGATTGATTGGCAGCTGAGACCCTCGGGTGGAGACAGAGCTAGCATGTCTGCTTCCCTTTTGGAGAAACATGAAATCAGAAGGGAGCACAGGCCTCTCTCCTCTGTTACACTCTCTTCCTGCCCACCCGAACGGATCTGTCCTGTGCACGTGTGTCACAGCTGTCTCTTACGCTCTGACCACTTCAGAAACTCTCCTGGATTGCTTAGGATGCATTTTCTTTGCCCTTTATAACAGTTAAAAAGACTGTTCCAGCCACTTTGAGGCTGTAACTCTACTTGGTGCTCGCCGGCTGGACAGAGCTCGGGGACCAGAGTCACATTATGTCTTAACGTGGAACCTTCAGTGGGTAACTTTTGTATATTGGTTTATGATGGCCCAGATGTCTTTGACGTTTTGAGGGACCAAGAGAAAGCATGTGACCTGCTTTTCAGCTGGCCGTCCTTCCTGAGAGGGGGCACTGACCCAGAAGAGCCAGAACCATCTGGAGCATGGTGGTAACTCTGTGGTCGGGAGGTGCCATATGTTCACTCCAAAGGTAGATTCCCAGTAGAATTCTGAGTGATTTGCCCTTTTTTCTGAAGTGGAGTTGGAAGGCCAAATAATTTTAACAACCCCTAATTTGATTTTATGATCATTTCATTATTGTTGATTTTTTTTTTTTTAGCCACATCTGGCGATGCACAGGTGACTCCTGCTGGCTCTGCACTTAGGAATCACTCCTGGCGGTCCCCCTGGGACCATATGGATGCCGGGGATTGAACCTGGGTTGGCCACATGCAAGGCAAGTGCCTTACCCTCTCCCTCTGTTCGTTATCTCCATCCCCATGTTGTTGATTTTTTTTTTTTTTTTTGCTTTTCGGGTCACATCTGGCGATGCACAGGGGTTACTCCTGGCTCTGTATTCAGGAGTTACTCCTGGCGGTGCTCAGGGGACTATATGGGATGCTGGGAATTAAACTCAGGTCAGCCGCGTGCAAGGCAAACGCCCTCCCCGCTGTGCTAGCTCTCCAGCCCCCTGTTGATGTTTTTTTAATTAAAAAATTCATCTGACGTAAAACTCACCATCTTAGGGGTCAGGGAGATGGTATCGCGGGTAAGGTGCTTCCTTTACCCAACTGTATGGGCTAACCCGGTTTCTGTCCCTCATACCCGCTATAGTCCCCTGAGCCTGCCAGGAGTCACCTCTGATCTCAGAGCCCAAGTTAGGAGTAAGCCCTGAGCACCGCCAGGAATAATCTTCTCCAACCTCCCCCGCAGATTTCACTGTCTCGGGTGTGGGGTGTGACTGAGCACTTGCCCTGTCCATGAGGCTCTGGGTTTGATCCCCAGCACCATCTTAAAGTGTGTACTTCGTTACACTTAGGATTTTTTTTTTCTTTTTGTTTTGGAGACACACCTGGCAGTGCTCAGGATGTACTCACAGCTTGGTGCTCAGGGGCCACTCCTAGCAGAGCTCACGGGACTGTGTTGTGCCGGGGATTCAGCCCAGAGGAGCACTGTGCAGGGTATGAACTCTGGCCCGTTGGCCATTTCCCAGCCCTTGGATTATTTTTGTGGTACCAGGGAAGGACCCCAGGGCCTCATCACTATGCCCGAGCGGCCTTTGTCACCTGCATGTGGCAGATGTGTCACCATTTCCTGGTGTGTGAAAACCTCAGCGCGGAGCTGGGGCGGCTCCTTACCTCGGGTGACACTATGAGGGATCACATATTAACAGATGTTTGCGGGCTCTCCAGGTGGCTCTCTCTCGCCGCCCGCTTTCGGTGCTCTGAACCACTTCCCCACCCCGGACGGCTGTTGCAATGGGAGGACGAAGGAAGAAGGAAGGCCAGGCTGGTTGGTGATCAGTTGCCATTCAGTCCATCTCTCGTCCCTCCCAAACTCTGAACAGCTCTCTCCACCTCGCAGCTCTCTAACTCAGCTCTCCGACCCTCTGACTCCATAACGCTCCCCCCAACTCCCCCGCAATTCTGTCTCTTGCTCTCCTGCCACTAGCCCACCACTCTCTCGGCTCTCTCCAGCCCCTCTCACCATGCCTGCCCCCGAAAGCACAGCCGGCATGCTTATCATAAGCCTTCCAACCACCTGCAGCCCACGAGGGCAAAAGAGCACTGAAGGTGTGTTTCTCCTCTCCTTAGATCGGTCATTTAATTAAAATCTTAATTCTACTTCCTCATATTTGCCTTTCTGTATGGACACGGTAATAGACACATTCAGGCTTGACTCTCCTGGGGACAGCTCACCATAGGCTTAGACTACAGTGCTCAGGCCGGATTAGTCATTCTTAACCCTAGCAGGGTCCAAATCTAGTCATTACTTTTTGGATCATGACAGAATTCGCCCATGACTACGCTCTTAACTTAGACCGTAAGCATTATGGCACTTTGGCCAGGCCCATTTCGATGCGAGGGTAGCTCACACCTTGCCCTGGGTCCATCCTGTCCCTCATTGGGACCCTGCTTTTGAGGATCTAGGAAGGAAGGGCAACTGAGGCTTACGTGGAGAGAGCAGATATCCAGGAGGTAATATTATCTGGAGTCAGTTAACTCCCAAGTGACAAAAGACAGAAGACAGTCTTTTTAACTGTCTTCCTGTGTCCATACAAAAAGTAATTGCTCTGAAGTAACTAACCATGCAAAGGACATTAAGGAGAGGAGGAAAACAGTATTTAGGAGTCAGCAGAGTCTGATCAGGAGACAAAGGTAATTGACAGGTTGGGGGAGCAGTCGACAAACCCAAACTCCCCGCGGCCAGGGAGGAAGGGCAAACCAATGTTATCCTACATTCTAGTTCATTCCATTTCAGTCCCCCCCCAGACAGCCCAGACCCGTTGGGTCCTCGCTCCCCGCCCCCTTTTCCTCCGAGCCTCCAGAAACCAGAAACCTGCTTTCTCTCTGGACATCTGACACTCACGAAGTCACACGTTGTGACCTCTCGTGTCTCTTTCACGAAGTGCATTGTTTTTTATTAATATAAACTTCGTGTCTGGAGGGTACAGATTCACCCTTTGAAGTGTACGCTCATGAGTTTGTTTAGTTCTTCTGTTCTTGTACTTTAGTATTTTCTAGGTGAATCCACAATGTGACACGAATCATCAGTACTTCTTTCCTTGTATTGACTGAATTTTATTCCCTGGCTTGGATTGTGTTATTTGTGTGTACATCTGCTCATGCTTACTTCCCTCCTCCTTTTTCTGCTGTAGTGGATGTTTCTGCTCTGAACCTATTTGTGGATTTGTTTGGTTTTAGCCATAATAATATTCCCATTCCCCATGATTCAGCGATGAAGAAAATCAGCAGTGTTTTTCACGGGAGAAGGTGGTGGACCACCCCTGGCGGCGCCCAGCATCTCTTTCTGGCGCTGTGCTCTGGAGTGACCCCTGGCAGTGCTGAAGAAATGCAGTACCCAGGAGCAAAGAGGTTGGTGCCATAAAGGCCCTTCCCTCCTATACAGTCTCTGTATCCCAGAAAATTAACTGTAGCACTGTCCTCCCGTTGTGAATCGATTTGCTCAAGCAGACCCAGTAACATCTCCATTGCGAGACTTGTCGTTACTGTTTTTGGCATATTGAATACATCACGGGTAGCTTGCGAGGCTTTGCCATGCAGGTGAGATACTCTCAGTAGGTTGCCAGGCTCTCTGAGAGGGGCGGAGGAATCGAACCCAGGTCGACCTTGTGCAAGGCAAATGCTCTACCTGCTGTGCTCTGGAGCATGGGTGGTTCATTGGTAGAATTCTTGCCTTTCACGCAGGAAAATTAACAAATTTTTTATTTAAAAGGAGCTAGAATGAATCTTAAGAGTCCTAAATTTTGTTTTCCTTAAATTATATATATATAACTATAAGCACTTCAGTGAAAAATTTTCTCTATAATCACCTTAATGCCATAAGTAGTATTCGTGTTTTACACACTAATAGTCAGTTTTCCCTAAGGGTGACCAGGATGCAGTGCCACCCAGAGCCCTGGTGGCATGTTGCCCGCACTAGTTTCATCCCTGTCCACCTCCTCTTCCTCTTCTGGGCGGTGAGATGGGGCCCGCCCACCACTCAGGCTCCCTGTGCTTCCTTCACTTCCTGAAGGCTTGCCCGGAAGCTCCTCACCATCAAAAGAAATGACCCTTCCAGGGCCATGTGATGTGTTTCAGATAGTTGGAATTTCCTTCAGAAAGAATTTGCAAAGTGAGTAGATTCTCTGCAACTAAAGTGATTGAATGACTCGGTCTGTTTCCTGTTCAGAGTTGGCTGTATCCAGCCTTTTTCTGTCTCAGGCTT